GGGGGGGGGGGGGTTGTTTGAGCATCATTCGACATTTGTTCTGGATGTTTTATTAACTCTCACTTTAAATTATAAAAGCTCCACAAATGTTATGAAATATTATAGGGACACTGGTCCTTCTGAGTTGCTACCTGACTACAGCGTAGAGGAGGACAAGTATGGACGATTGGTTAGACTTTCTTTTATTGTTTTACAGGCTGTACATTGTTGTAAGTAGCGTTCTGTAAGGGCTATTTAATTTTTTTTTCACTCTGAGTGATTCAATGAGCGGAACGGAGCGGTTCATTGTCGAAAACGACTCGTTTAAGAGATGTTCTCAGCGAAAGTATATCTAGATAAACCGTGAAAAGCTCTTGGTATGGCCCGAGCGGAAACCTCGTAAAAGAGCCGACTTCAAGAAAATGTTGTACAGCGCTCCAAATGAGGTTCGCGGGTTTTCGAGCTTTTCGTGATTTTCGTTCGTCTAATTATTCGGACGACTGCAGGTTCCGCTTATTTCCCCTGCTCCATCTACATGTAGTGATATTTATGCTGCCAGCTCTCGAGGAAGTGCAAGCGTTCAGGTATTGAGCCCCTTTTGGTATAAGCATACCATCTGGCAAAAACAGAAATATGCTGCTTGCAATTCCCCTTCGGGAAACTTATTCCTAAGTGTCGCTGCCGGAAGAGGCAATATGTTCCGCCACAACTTCATTCCTTTCCGCCTTCCCCCACCCCTCGTTCGATGATGCTCAACAGCGAACATCGTTGGCAGCCTACTTTCGAGAATGAAGTTCTTACGATGGTCGACTTCAAATACATTTCGTAAAGTAAGAGCTCAAAGGCGCACTTTTTGCTGATTTTCGAGCACCTTTTTTAATCGAAAAGCGGAAGTGTTGGTGAAGAATAATGCGATGTGGAGATGTGCAGAATTACTGGAACATAAGGTTTCCTAAAGGTAGTGAAGTAGGGGCTGTACGAGCACACCATAGAATACTTACTATGAGACATTTGGGCGAGATTCCAATTGTTGTTATTGCGTAAAGAGCTGTCTATATCGAGCCAAAGTACCCAGAATCGCCTACAACATGGGTTACGGCTAGTTCTTCGAATTCCCTATACGGATGTCCTTTGTAAATGGTGCAGTCTCTACGATGCCATTGAAACTTGCCCTGTCCTGGGAGTGGCACAAATAGGTATAGTATTTGATCCACTAGAGCCACATGTTCCATATTTGAGCGCCACACATCGATGTCTGGGGAACACTTTTTTCGTGGACTGCAGTATCGCCTGTGACCTTGAAAGCATCTCATATCGCAGCCGATCACTTCAGGAAGATTTTACAGAAAACTTTTTCTTAAATTCTATTTTGCAGACATATCGCCGATGTGATCCGGAGCTGGAAGAAACCTTCATTGGTGGAGCGTCATCGGAAGAGGTACAAGTTCCATAGCCCTCTTCAGGTTGATCAACTGAGTCAACAGAACATTAGGCTTTTTCGTCAAGGCGGCCGCTAGAGTCACTCCATCGTCTTTTGTTCTCTACTATCAGATCGATGAGCCTCTCAGGGATAGAGCGTATCTTCACATGGCATACAAGAACAGGCAAGGGCAAGTAAGTCCTTCAGAAACTTGCTTACAGATGTTTTCAGAATTGTTGACTTTCATCTTCTCACCTTACACAATATGCACAACTTCCCTGAGATACGATGGGCCATCTGCATACGTGACGTCAGCAATTCAGCCCGATTTCAGGCCTTCCACTTTCCACTTACTTGTCGAAAAGCAAAACGCGACGATCGCGCTGAGTCGATATTCTGGCGTGTTGAATATGGCGATACAGATGTTAGGGAGGTAAGATCCACAAAAACTTTCGACTGTAGTTAACCGGCAACCTTCCTGGTGATGGTCCCTTCATTAGTCAGGCTTGAGTCCTGGGGCTAGGTCTTAAAGACACACTTCACGATGAAAATGGCTTCTGAGATTTTCCTTTAAGATGAATTAGAGGTTCTCCCTTATACCATACCTGCCGTTATAAGGGCGAAAAACTTCTTGGATAGGGCACAGTGAGGGACCAAAGATTGTGTCGTGTAAATGCCACACCTCTAGCGGACGAGTTTCAACGGCTCTGTAGAGGCTGCACCGATCACAAGGTAACCAATGTAAGAAGTTCAAACAACTTTTCATGATCCATAGCGACAGTAGAAGGCAATTCTGGATTGTCATGATTGATGTAGTAAGCTCTCTGCACGATGGGAGCAAGCTAAATCTCGACCAAACACGCCTTACTGCCAGTCCTGTCACGGTGATCTCGTACCACCCCCACTTCAACTACTTCTAGAAAGCTTGAAGTAGGCGGATTTTCTCGCTTTCTTCGTCACCGATGTGCTCCTCTACATCGATACTTCCGCTTTTCAACCTAAAAAGAATACCTCAAAATTATTGTGAACTGTGCCTTTACGTTTGACTGGTCGATGGCCATGCCCGATCACCAGCTATTGAGAGCTCAACTTTTCAGTTCCCACGCCTTTCGTCCTTGGTACGCTACTACAAGAAGTTCTCGTCTTATGACAAAAGAGCTTTTCTCACAGAAGCGTTTCCGATAAAGACAGATGATATAGCGGTTGCCGATTGAGGGTGAAAAAAGCTAATTTTGGATTTATCGATAACCTTATTTGAGATGAAATTCTAAGTTTATTATTGTTTTTCCACACAGAAGAAAGAAACGATTCATTCTATACATCAAGTAACAACATTGTAAATTATATGGAATTCCCTACAATTCTGTAACTCGTATTTTCATTGTACTCGAATCGGACTCACTGAGCTGCTAAATATTCAAATGTAACTCTCAACAGTTGACCTCAAACGTTCACAAAATTACGAAACGACATAACCTATTCTTGTTCCTGACCAAAACCATTGAGCAAGTGTCAAAACAACTGTATATGATAGCAATTCATCACGGACGACCGCAAAACGCCAAATTTGAGGGAACGCCTGAGACGGGAGAAACTCCAAAGAGGAAAAGAGCTACCACTTCTTCAGCGGAACAAGCGGGATTTTCAGTTTTGATATGAAAATCTCGGTTGTTCAGTTTGTGTAGTGGAAGCTGCATTAAACGTTTTTCTCATAGACTAACTGGGCTGTAACAACTCAAACCTCGAACAGGGCTGAACTGTAAGGCGGTTTGGACCTGTGTAGCGAAATTATAACCTTCATTTCAACCTCCTGTAGGAGTTTACGGAACTCCAGACGAGAATCCGCTTTGCCTTCCTACGACGTTGAGCGGTAAAAGGAGTTGTATAGCACAAAATCTACTTTTGAGATGTCGACTGAGGAAGGGGATCTGGGCGGCTTTGGGGCAGATCTTATGACGCTTTGACTTGCTCAATCTCTAATGGAGCATTCACTACTACTTGGTTTTCTACCAAAACGACATCAAAGATTTTAGTCATCCCATTCCAATTCCACGATGTTGTTCTTCAACTCTGTGAGAAGACTCTTCCCGTAATTACTCACACACTGCAATTCTTGAACATGTCGAATGCACAGGCTCTGAAAAACCATGGACGTTTTCCAAATAAATCGAGAAACTGAAAAACCCAAATTAAAACATTGAAAACGGAGATCTTTGAGTCGAGAGCTTTTGAAATTGCGCCCCAAGAGGCTGTTGCAATCATACGGTTGTTCGAAATAATAGCTTTAAGGCACCGTTTGGGATAAGAATTGCTATTTGAAACTCCTCTTTAGGATGCACCTGTGACACCCTAGGATACCATAAGGGAAGTTGTTGGATCGAAAAACAGCTTATATATGACTATCAAGAGCTCCAAAACAGGCCCTAGATGACATACACACCCAGAGGTAGACAAATTTTCATGGCGGTGTAGAGGCCGCTCCCATTCGCACAGGGATGCACATGCTGCACGCAGGAAGCTTGATGTAGACAGCTGTACGCGATGGCTCACACATTTGGACAGCTCGTCCAAATGTCCAGCTCTTTCACACAACTTTCGTCGTCATATTCCCGTCAAGCCTTTTACTTTGATATTTCTTCGGAGCCTTAACAGTACCCTGAAAACCCAGTTTTTCGCGTGTTCAATGTCATTTTTGCCCTATTTCAGACCGTAAGTTCATTATTTGCTTTAAACTAGATGCCCCAAAATTATCACAAACGTGCCTTCGAAGGGCTTCAAACAAAAGTATGGATTCGTCGTGATCGCTGAAGGCATACAGAGATTGGTTTAATTCAAGAAAATCTCGAGAANCCCTATTTCAGACCGTAAGTTCATTATTTGCTTTAAACTAGATGCCCCAAAATTATCACAAACGTGCCTTCGAAGGGCTTCAAACAAAAGTATGGATTCGTCGTGATCGCTGAAGGCATACAGAGATTGGTTTAATTCAAGAAAATCTCGAGAATCCCCATCCTTCGAGAAAATGAGGGACCAGGGATGGGGTCCGAAATTGCTTTGTCCAGAACGTTTTTGTTCGGTGACTACAAGTAGCTCTCAAGAGTACTTACGGAGAGTTACAAAAACTTTGTCTTCGAGATGATCAATGAAAACAGCTCAATCTTTACTCGAGTGGCTGTATTTGATAGATATGAGTGGCAATAAATCGGATCCATGGAAATGAAACAAAAAAGAAAACAGAAAAGTCTACTCGAAAATCGAACAATTTGCTTCTGGGTCAGATGCACGGCGTATTCTGGAACGCTACAATGCCCACTTAGTGTTCATATATTGAGCCGTCGGATACTGCATTGTAATACGAAAATCGTGGGAGCAACTGTCTCATTAGACTGTTAGAACAAAGCTGTTTATTTGAATTACGGTAGTCAGTTTTCCGTAGTCACGTACCTTTTTACACTCATCGCATGTGGCACATCGGTCACATATCGCTTTGCACTGTTCACAAACCGAATTCCGCCATCTGATCTTTGACCTGAAAATGTGTTACTGTAGTTATATGTCTGTGACTTCAGATGGGGAAAGTATCCCCACCTTTCCATCTTTAGGCAATGCCCATTCATTCCTTCATATTCACGCAACTGGGCGATATTCAGTGATGTTGAGATCACCGCTCCGTACAGCTAGATTAAATAGTAATTGAATATAAATGAAATTCATGAAAAACTGGAAACAGGCCCAAATTTTCACCTGTGCTGGTAGAAATCTGCTGATTTTCAAACGAGCAAAAACCGCATTTCCTTCAGAGGCTAAACGATGTATCAGCTTTACCAGGATCTCACGTTTACAGTGGAAATCATAGGCAGTAATCAGCAATGTCATCACCTCGTCTGGTTTCAGATCACTGTAACAGTAACAGTTGTTGAGACATTGTGGATTGGGAATGATTGCAAACCCACTAGAGATCTGATCTCTTGATTAAATCCTGGCATGCTTCGATCAACGGCAGCACTTGGTACTTGTGCGAGAGACGCAGAATCACAGAAAAGTTCGATACTGAAATCATTGTATCACTTACTCATGCAATAAAATTGGGCTTGAAGGATAAGGTCTTGGGGTGCTGATCAATCCCGTCTGAGGGATGCACCCACGCATTGGCTGCTCTCATAGTCCACGATTTGGCGAGCGACCGATCGCGCAATCATGGGCGCCGCCGAGCGATCGATAGCTCCGCGACCTGTGGCGCGACTGGTCGCTCGCCAAGTTGTGGACTATGAAAGCAGCCATTCGTCTTCCATTCAGAATCGTAGTGGCTTAATGAATGCGTATGTGGACTATACAATGACTTGCGGTGGCCATTTACAAGTCAGTGCATTCATCCTTCCAGACTAGTCTGGTACCAATTAAGCGACCCCGGAGGGATGGAAGGCTCGCTTTACCTGGGCAGCTATCGATCCGGAATTTGAACCCGTGACCATGTGTGTGTGATATAGTGCGCCACTTGCCACCACACCACCTCTACCTTGAAATTGGGCTTATACATTTCAACTACGCTTTTCAAAATTAAGAGGGGAGAGCTCGAATTGGAGGTCAGTATTAGGCTCATCAGCCATCGGAAGGCAACTCAACCAACTACTTCCCCCTATCGAAAACTTTCACCCATTTTGAATGGACACGAATGAAAGCCGCATCACCATCGGACTGTTCCAGCCAAAAGCATTTTACTGGTCAAGCCTTTCTAGACTTTTTGATTCATGATCATGCACTCAGTTAGGACAAGTGCATATGCAAACCAATTCTCCTGCCAAGGTTCTTGTGACGGCTCTAATCACTACAGTGCAACGGAATTTCTGATGCCGTTGCCTCTTCCAAAAACTTCATATTGTCGTCATTCATGTCAAATTCAATTCCAAAAATATAGACTCAGTTTCCATGATAGGCACAACGAGGGGTGGAGTTAGGTCCTATGAACTACCTTCCAATTCTGATGTGCTGTGAAGTCGTGGAAAAGCCAAGCTTTATTCTGGCACGTTTACTCCTTGCACATGAATATTCATCACATTTCCGCTTTTTTCAATTCGGTTTCGTCTTTGTACTGACAGCTGACGAACAAACAGGGTGCCAATGTTTAACGTTACTCTTTACGTCATATGCATCGGCCAGCTGACAAGCGACCCCCACCTCGTCTAGACTGAAGCTAGGGTTCATTAATAAACAAGTGGCTCGGACTCCTATCTGTCATTGTGGTAAACCACAGTGGAACAGAAAGGGAACAAGCAGAAGTTAAAAGGGATTCACGATCACGAGCTCAACATTCGACGAAACAAAAAAGATTGTAAAGCACCGAACCGTCCGGTCGTCAATCTGCAGTTAGACCCAAAGTTCCCAGGTCAATATCCATGATGAACGACTGAGGGCTCACCATTGATGATTCCTGGATCATGAACAGCTCTCAGAAAAACGTCGATGTCAGCGCATTTCTCGTCAACGATTTCCCGAGACAATTCACGTCCCTTTTCGAAGTCCTTACCATAGCACATCACGGAAAATACCTGAAGCTGGTAACCATCACTTCGCTTTCAAATAACATAACCACACAAACTTAACATACCGGAGAGATCTTTCGCATACACTCGGCATCGATGAGGAATGTTCGGTCTTGCACGTGAATGCGAAAGGGACGGTCGAAATTCGACGGTGACGGTGAATAACAGACGTCAGGAAGTATTTCGGTCCCCATCCCTGGAATAGAGTACTTTATCTATCGAGCTAGGCTCATTCAATCGGAAGTTTGGTTGGAACCGTTCCATTTCGAAAAAATGAATCAAAGTTTTAAGGGATTTTGGAGAATATGTGAATCGAAACAAAAGAGATGTTGAGAAGAACAAGAATTTGCTGCGAAATGGACTTTATCGAACCTGGACTTGAACAACGAAAATTCCATTTTGACTTGATCAAGAAGGGTATGCTCGAAATAAAGGTGGGTACGAAAGATGCTGTAGATAGGAAGAAATGGAGAGGGCTAACATGAAAAGCAGTTTATGCGACTTTGCGGTATGAAGGCATGGGAGATGAAGGACCAAAACACGTGCTCAGCTCAGCACCTGCATGTACCACTTAAAAAACTCAGTGAATGAGTCGTTTCTCAACAAATGGTGTGCTCGGGATCTCGCAAAGATGTCCTCGACCAACAGAAGCAACTGGGGCCAGGATAGATACCTGCCTAGTTGATTTCCTTTTCAAGGGGGCTGTAAAGAATGTCACTTTATTAGAGCAGAGAACAAATTATTATTGGGGTTGAGGATCAAGGGTGTCTGAGTTTTGTTTGTTGCACAATTCTCGCTCTCCTTTTCTGTTTCTTTCCCTCTCTCTATCTCTGTCTTTCCCTTAAACCAGATTGGGTATAGGCTACCAGTTCCAAATAGCATTCCATGCAGTGAACCCGACTCAGTTCAGAAACTGACATTAAAACTGATTAGATAGCTACGCAGCTACTCTACTGCTCTACTTACACTTCTGTAGGGAAATGTTGAGTGAGGAAACTTCCGAAAGCAAGTACTTCTGCATAGGTCTAATAAGAGGAGCTCCTTAAATGCTCAGTGAGCGCGTATTCTAGCACCACAGGTAAGTTCGGTGCTAATAGAA